CTTATCAGACCACAAAATGTAGTGAAACATGCACTTAAATGCCCCAAAACACAATAAAATACCCATTTGTTTCATAAAATATAAAACAAAGTTACAATGAGTAAATAGATGCCCAGGTTAAAAATTGTGTGCGTCTGTGAAACTTCAACAAAATTTCAGTACCCCAAAAAGTCCATAGATGCCGCTTTAGAAGCCCCCATAGGTCATCAATTTAGAGATACGCACTTCTATCAGACTTTGTGAATGCGGTGGAATGTGAGATCGTACTCAAGGAGTCGGATAGTGACATTTCAGGACCGAACAGCTGTTCCAGGGCAGATCAGTTCTCCTGCACATACGATTTGCGATGCCGATCTGCCCTGGAACAGCTGAGAAAGCATTGGAATGCTTGACCTATTGGCGGTCACACAAGCCACAGCCAAAAAACTGGGCGGGATTACATTGAAATGTGTGACCACGTCACCGATCACACATTGTTACGTAGTCACAAACTTTGATAGAACACCGCCATCAGGGGGTATGGCCGGTACCCATGTGAGGGGTCTGGGGGGCCTCTTACATGAGTATCAGCTGTGACAGGGGAGGGGGTGGAGGAGGCCAGGCCCCAGCAGCAGCAGGTAAGATGAGTTGGGAGGAGGTACAGGGAAAGGGACCCCGGCGAGCAGCCCACCTGAGGCCCTGCAGAGCCCATTATAGAGAGTCTCAGATGGGCTGTGCAGGATCTATGGTGTGCTCTGCAGGGTCACTCTCATGTGGGCTCTTCGGGGTCTCAGGTAAGCCCATAGTCCAGTGCATTACTAAGTTCACATATACCTATATACATGCTATACATAGCATAAAGGTAAAAAAGGATATATGCAGTGTTATCTTCATTTTATATGTCAAAAGGGTTTTGTGGTGTTTTCTTTTCTGTGGGAAACTGGTCCAAATGGCTCTTTGAGTGTTTAAGGTTGCTGACCCCTGTCCTATGGGCACGTTGACAAACTTCTAGATCATTAGGTACCATCACATTCCATCACAAACAATTTATCCCCACACAGCTACCTCCTCATGTATCACTGGCCCCTCCCTTTTTAGATTGCAAGCCCTCACGGGCAGGGCCCATCCTCTTGTCTTGAATTGTATTGTAATGTCTTCCTTATATTGTAAAGTGATGTGCAAACTTTTGGCGCTATATAAATCCTGTATAATAATTATGTTAATTAGGAGTAGGATAGAACTTATGGAAATTCGATACAGACATACATATTTATTTTCCGTTTTTGACCATAGACACCCTTTTAATTTGGACAATTGAATTTGATAATACAGCCCTGGAGATATTCGAAGTGAGGGTGTTGAGGAAATAGTGACCTCTAGTGACATATCTGCAAAGCTGCTAACACACCCACTGATCACTACTCGGTTTTCTCTGTACTTTTCAGCTTAGCTCTGCTCAACAACAGGGTTTCAGACTGCATAACCAAGTCAGATTGTTTTGTATTGTTAGGCAGTCTTTGTTTATGGCAGTATTACACTTGCCCTCAGAGTCAGGCCAAGGCATATGCAGGAGAGAATCCTGTGGTAGTTAATGCAGGTGATGTAGGAGCCTCTTTTGCCTCTGCCTCACCCTAGCCTGCTCCTGCATTGTGCAGGAGCTGGCTGTCAACTTGACAGCTTAGTCCTGAACATTACACTTGGAGAATGGCTCTCCTGGTTTAATTAGTGGGGCTTCTCTGTTTATTGTGATATCCGCCCCAGCTCTGTATCAGGAGTACTAGTAATAAAGTTAACAGGTACAGTATGTACTGCATATCCTGCCAGAGCTTTGGCAAGAAGTAGACTGAAGATTAAAATGTGAATTTCCAAGTCCGGGACTACCTAAGCCATCAGTCAATACTTCACTGGCAGATTAATTGATTCTAAGCAATCGTTGTCGTAGATCCCAAGATCATTCTTCCATTCATGAAAGGGAGCTCTCAATTAGTGTCTATTATTGGGCTAAATCATGCTTTAGAAGGCCATCTCACCTATTGTCAGAAGAGGCTGTGTCTTTTTTATATCAAAGACTTTTTAATTAAACTGCCATCCAAAAAACAATTAAGATAGAGCTTCTGTATTTAACTAGTCAATATTTCAGCAGATAAATCTCATTAATAGACTTCTCTTTATGACTCATGGAATGGGGCTTCAGGTTGGCTTATACTACCTAGATCAATTTCCGATCAATATTCTCCAGTAAATTTCCATTTAGACAGCTCTCAGTGAAAAATAAATAACTTGTGTTGATGATTTTGCCATAGTACACTGGGGTACAATGACTTAGGATATGGAACATTTTAAGCTATTTTTATGTTATTGCAATCAGTCATTTGAGTCCATAAACCATACTATTGTACAAGAGTGATAACAAAGATATTAACAGTTTAGTATTCTAAATCGGAGAACGATTCAAAACTATCCCTCTTGAAGTTTTGCTGATCCTTTGGCTTCAAAATTGTGGAGCACTGACCCGAAACAAGTCCACAGAATAGGTCCCCAGACTTCCTTGATGTGCCTATTTTTTCCCAGGTTAGTGTCTTAAAAAAAAAAAAAAAAATAAGTTTGTAGACAACGGGTCAGCATGTTAGTCAGGAAACTTGTATTTTTAAAAAGAGGTAAGCAATGGCAGCTTCCATATTTTTCTTATGACGCATTCATATATAAGAATAAGCACTTACGACAGATGAGCCAACATGCATGCAAATGTCTTATTAGTGGTTATCTTACTCTGACATCAGACACACCTTTAAAGTTGAACTCCGGGATAGCAGTTTCTTTAAATAAGGCAGTTATATAGCACCGACAATTAACGCAGGAGCTTACAATCTAAAGTCATGATCATACATACATACACTTATTTGGTCCAATTTAGACAGGAGTGAATTAACCCACCAGTATATCTTTGGAATGTGGGCAGGAACTGGAGTACTAAGAAGACACCCATACAAGCAAAGTAGAATGTGGAAACTTCATGTAGTGACAAGTTTAGTTTTTTGGCTTTTGAATGCTATTTCCTGTTGTGAAGACTGATTACCCCACTCTGATTGACCTATCACTTTACCACTCTCCAGTAGTTCTAGTCAGTGAGGAGTCTGCAGGGTTTGGTTAGTCAGCTAATCAGATTTAGTCAGTTAATCAGTACTGCTTATGGAAACATCCGGGATTAGACCTCTGCCTCCAGTCAGTGCAGATCATAGATACAGAGTCCCTGATCTGCATCTTAGCTGGGGAGGAATGGAGAGTGGGCTTTGAATGGCTTTTTTTTTTTATATAGTCACCAAAAATTGCCAGGTAGGTCAGCAAAAATGCCCTAGGGAGAACAAAATACACACAAACACAAGTACCATTCAACTGCTGGACTTTCTTTTATCTGTTCTGCTTTTTTTAAATGTGTTTTTGTGCATTTTAAAAGAAATGGTCTTGGAAATTGTCTATATTTTTTTAAATCTGAGGCGTGTTACAGTAATTCGAAAGAGACTTAAGAATTTTATATACATTAACAATATTAGTATGAACTAGTATACTGTAGTTTGTTTTGTGCTTTATTATCTCTCTACAAATGACAGTAGGTCATATTGTGGGATGGTGTCCACTAACTTCTGGTGTGTTGTGCATACTTGTTAGGGAACCAAAAATCAGACAGAAATGTAACGTGCAGGTTAAAAATGAGTTGTTTGCCATTTTTGTTTGTTATTTTCAATAAAGTCCAGTACGTCGTTAGTGCCAAGCCTGAGGTCAGATGCCAAAGCATGTAGTCAGCCAAACCAGGTCAAGGATCAGGATGAATGAAAACAATAGCCGGACTCGGCAACCGGGAGATCAGTCAGCCAGAGCCAGGGTGATACATGAAGAATCGGAACAGCAGCACTTGGTAGATCTGAACACATGCAATGGCACAGACTAAATTGACAAAATGATGGTTCAATAGGGAACTGGTGTTGCATCATCACTGTAAGATGGGAAGTTGCCGCAGGTTTGCCAGTAGTTGCAGAATGGGGATGTTAGGTTTGGTCATATGAGGGCTCGAAAGAGAAACGAACAGTGTCAGACACACTGCAACAGAAGACAGGCTGCAGCTCAACTAGTACAAGGGGTGATCAGATCTGAAGAAGATCAAATCAAAGACAGTATAATGAGGGTCGTATTGCCTGCTAAAGTACAAAAGTATACATTTTGCATCCAGTATAGTGTGTGATCGCAACATTGTTTTCAAATCGCTTTCAGCTCAACATTGAATATAAAGAGCCGGCCAAAAAATTTATATTTCTCAGCTTGTCCGTGAATGTATGCATGAAGTGAGTGTGTTGTTGGTGGATTCAACCAATTTTTTATAGAGTTTTCAGGTGGGGGTCTATTGGTTTGTTTTGTTGATCCGTTTTTCATAATTTATTAAATAAATACAATTTATACTTTTGTACTTTAGCAGGCAATCCGACCCTCATTATACTGTCTTTGATTTGATCTTCAGATCTTATCACCCCTTATACCAGTGTCTATAATACAGTAGAGGATTGTTGAATGCCACGATAAACTGTGGCTATCACCTCAAGGAGCTTTAAATTAGGGGTTTGGTCTCTGGATATAACTTTTCTATTTTCGTTGCAGCTCAACTAGACAAGGAAGTGTTAGAAAACCCGACAATTCTGTGCAGAATTTTTGGTGACCTGAAACTGTACAGTTAAAACAAGTTGTTTGAGATCACGTACATGTGCTTACGGTCCCTAACTTAAGCTCAAATAAAACCCAATCCATTTATAACCAAAGTACAGTGATAAAGTGCTTATGATGTGGTAAAAAAAAAAAAGTTATAATCAGCCCTATACACTGGAGATATGAACTGTGTACAGAATTCTTCTACTGCCTTGCTTAATTAACCAAACCTCCGTTAGCTCCTTCTTTCTTAACTTGTGTTGTTCAAGGTGTAAACTGGCGAGCATGTAAAAACCATGTTGTTTTGTTTTTTTTTTCTTTCACTACAGGACAGAATTCATTCAGAGAGGGACAATTTCAATCACTGGGGCGGGATTACTCAATTGTGTTCTGGAAACATTTGCACAGACTTTTTTAAAACAAGGAGTCAAAAAGGTAATTTAATAAATTAATACATATATATTAATAATATATATTTTTCAGAAACAGTTACCCTGACTTTTTAACTTGCATCTGAAACGTGAAACAGTGTAGCCTCCTTCTATAGGATATCCATAAAATGTAGATGACAGTCGATCAATTTGCTGTTATTGATCTTACATCTGTGGATGGCCACCTTGCCTGCCTGTTAGCTGCCTTCATTGGGAAATAGCAATGGAGGCAGGTTGTCTAACATGTTCAATTGCTGCTTCCCTGATAAGCTGCTACCAGCGGGCTCTATTGTGCCATCAGAGCTGCCATTGATGGCCTTAGTTCACATGAGTTGCCGTTCAGTACCACCTGATGTTCTTCTTTTCTCTTTGAAGGAATGATGATAATAAAATGCATGATGAAAGATCAAATCACTGTTTAAATTAGTTTTTTCAAAGACCTCCAATAACAAAAAAGCAATAAGTATAACATGATATTTTGAAGAGCCATCTGTGTGAAGCATTCTAGTGTAAAAACAAAGTAGAAGCTTAATGTGTAACATGTACAGTACATCAGTGTAAAAAATAGATTTATAATTTCATTTAAATAAAATACTTTAAGGGAAAGGATAGTGTATATTGTTTAATCTAAACAAACCGACCAGTGGAGGCGTAGTCATTGGAACAATGTAGACACCGATCTCATGCCTGAGTCTGCCCACAAACCATGGACACACATATTGCCTGTACACAGGGTGGATTTCTCCCACTGCCCCTGTGGTACACCACTGTAAAAGTGGTTATTGAAGGATTAGGATACTGAGCAATGGAAGGCCCTGATATGAGTCATATGGATTACCTTTTTGTTCTCTTAAACCAGTGATTTAGTGGTATGGTTATACACCTGGAATTGTGGATCACCTTTACTTTTACTAAATGAAAGGCCCTTGTATGACAGTCTAAACAAGTACCAAATCCAGTTAATATGTGATTCACAAGCCTCATAAAGTAAACAGAAAAACTTCCTTTTTGCTGGCTGAGCCAAATCCTCCTTTTATTTGTGCCTTATACTCTCCCCCTCCCAGACTCTGCAGCTCACAGTGGGGGAATTTAATAACTTTCAACCCAGAAAGTAGTTTGCAGTACTAAGTGTCGCCAGGTGCTGGCTGACAAGCCAAAGGTTTATGAATAAGCAATGACCATGCTGATAGCTATGCCCCCCTGCAACATTTGTGATCCCACTGTAATGCACGCAGGTGCAACATATATGTGTGTCAACTCTGCTTTGAATTCGTGAGCACTGCAGCATTGTTTCCACCCCATTACAGATCAACAGATTTTTGTGGGACTTTGCAGGGGGACTAAAGAGAACTGCAGATCCACGTAATCTACAACTGCAACCTGGCATTCATAAGATTTTTCTGTTGGGGGTTAGGGAACACATTATTAGTTAAATCATAAAAAAAAAAAACTAAACGTGCCTACTTTAAAGTCTTTCCATTCTTTATGGAGGGGCAGTTTTGTTAACACGTTATTAGCTCTGTAAAAGTGCCTGTTGGCTCTAAGAGTAAAGTTAAAAAATGTATTTATTGATCAACTCTTGTTAAAGGCAGACCTATCTTACAAAATTATATCCACTGCTGCTCTACTTCCAAAAATGGTATCAGCACCATGAAATACTTTCTTCACTCCCTTAATCGCATAAACTGTAAGAGAAGTCATTCAATGCTCCCTTAAAAGATAAGTTTCCAGTTTCAAAAAAATTAAAAGGCAAACTAACTCATAACATCCTCCCCACCACCCAGTTCCTGCTCTGCTTTGGCACCGTAATCACTATCTCCTGCCACCCACACCAGCCAGGTATTGATTCAGGCACTTTAATACTTCACTGCACAGCCCCATCAACATAATACATGCAATGTTGAGTGGTCATGGCTCAGTACGACCACGTGAGAGTGCTGATTAATGACTGCTAAGCCCCGGGAGAAGTACACCTTTTTTTGTGTTATCCTTTAAACACATTAAATAATAGAAATGCCCAGGAATACATTAGGCAGAGAAACTGTATTTTTAGAAATCCATGGTAGCTGGTCAAAGAAACCAAATGACTAGGAAAGAATCCAAATTTAGATTGGCTTATTATGTGACCAGCCATCATGGGATCCAGGAGCAGCAATTTCTCCAGCTGAGGATTTTCTGCTGGCATTTGTATGTTTTAAAAAAAGTAGGTAAGCATTCAAGGCATTTTATATGGTTACAGGAGTGGAGTGACAGAGGAGCAAGGAAGAACTTGACGAATCCTCGATGAGTGGTCTGTAAAATTATATATTAACTCTGCATGAGACACTCTGCGGGAAGAGCTATTTCAGATAACTCGTAACAGCCAGAGTCAAACCTGCCCTGGAAAATGATACGTGGAGAATTAAAGTTTGAATATGGGCTAGGGATCTTTGCTGCTCCCCCTCTTCTCCTAGCCCACAGACCCCCCCCCCCCCCCCCCC